CTCTGACCCAACGCGCTACGCAGAATGGCGTTTGTTCTTATCGTGCCTGCAAGGTCAATGGGTAGAGGTCAGACGAAGTTCAGTTTCCTGGTCCTCCAGGTTGAGGGTTCGACTGGAATTTACGTTTCAGTCTGTAAAAACGGTGGAGGAGTAACCGATCCAAGTAAATGAGTCTCCACTTCGCTTCACTCGCTGCCTTGCGGTTAGTTTCTTGTTAGAACTAAAGGCTTTGGACGAGAACCCTAATCGTTCTCCTGCTTAGTGGCTGGACACAATGGCAGTACCCGTCATCCATCAAACCCCAATGCATACAAAATTACAAATAATTTCATACTACATCGATCGTCGCGCAGGATAATCAGGACCGCTCTGCCTATTGCATCGAGCGGGGTGGGTTGTGATAAGTGGGCTACTGCTCAGATATCCCAATCTTTGTTTAATTCTTTGTCTTCAGTACCCAGCTCTCTCCATTTCCCCCCCCCCTTCTGCCTTGTGATAGTCCCTCAAGCAACTTGGGTGTCGGTCGTAAAAGGCCGTTGCCAAATAACGCTGTAAGTAATGTATCACGAAACGAATTGCAGATTCTGAAGCCTCGTCAACGACTGAATCTGAGGGCCTTCAACATGAGGACCCTGATGCAGGTAGGTCAACAAGCTTGTCTGGCCCGTACAATGGCGTCTTTAGGGATCAATATTTACTGTGTCGGAAACTCGAGTCCAGAATCCTACTATTGTAAGCCACTTGAGCGCGTCAGATTTGTCTTCGAGATACGTCCTTCGCACATCAGGCGACGATGAAGCCCGTTCAGTCGGTCGGCGCAGGATAGGTATTGAACTTAGCAACAGGGCGCAGTCCTCTCTTATCGGTTAGATCCCCGTCAACAGTCGTTTATGTGCAGTGCGGTTCAGTCAGCGTCCGGAAGGGAAGCAACACCAAAAGGTGTTTGTTTATCGTATCACCATATACACCGACCAATTGCAGTTCTGATACCCAAAAGGACGCTTTCTTTCTTTTTTCTTTTTCATTTTACTTCTTTTTATTGAATATACAAAGATACAATTTTCAGGAAGGGGGAAGCGGCCAATCAAAGGGCTGCCATACAACACACAAATGGGGAAAGTCGAGCGGTGGTGGTGGGATTCGAACACTCGTCCTCCGGCGTGATAATTTGTGACGTTACCACCGCCCATCGATCTCATTCGGATGAGTCAAAGCTCCGACATGGTTGTACTTGCAGGTGACTTCAACGCGCAAGTTGGAAAACTGAGTGCATCAGAAGCTTGCCTAAGCGGTAGTTGTGCTCTGCCGTGCCATCGAACAGGTAACGGCGATCGACTTCTTCAGTTTTGCGCAGACCATCATCTGTTCCTGTCAAGCACCAACTTCCGACACAGCTCTCGACGGACGGCAACGTGGCGCTTCAGCTCAACTGGCACGCTAACTCAAATCGACCACATAGCAGTAAGCTACCGTTGGCATGGATCAGTGCAAAATTGCAGGTCGTATTGGACCATCTGTGCCAAGTCTAGCCACGCATTAGTTTTGATGCCGTTCACTCTGCGACTGGCTGGTCGGCGACAAAAATTAGGAAGCTCATCATCAACTATCTGTTCCAGCAGTTCGTGCACTCTATGAGTCAGAGCTAGTGCATGAGCTAAGCGCGCCTCGACATGGTGATGTAGACGAGCGGTGGGATCAGATTAGGTGAACAATACACTCTGCAGCAAATGTTGCTTGTGGATCTGAGTCTCAAACTCGCCGGAGACATTGGATATCTCAGGAGTCAGTAGTTTTGATGAAGAAAAACGACAAAATTCCGATCTGCCAGGATCAAATTAGAGTTAGGTGGCATCTGAAACGTCAGCTCACAAAGAGCCTGAAGAAGGAACTTGAGAACTGGTGGGCAACAATAGCTAGTGAAATGGATTAGCAGGTGCGTCAGGGAATAGTCAAAGAGTTTTCCGACTGATACGCCAAACAGGAGGTCGGCGAATTCCAGTTAGTGAAACCGTTCGCGATAAAATAGAACAAGCTATTCACAATAGGGATCAACGACTTGACCGCTGGGCGGAATACTTCAGCAAACATTTCAGCTGGCCTAGTGCTAACCAGGCTGCATCATCTGTAACTGGAGCTCCATGGGCAGTGCCATGCGATCCTCCAGCAGAAGCAGAAGTTCGGTCCTGCATTCAAGTTCTGAGTCGAGGAAAGGCAGCAGGACCAGATGAGCTCCCTTCCACTCTTTTCAAGGTGTGTGTAATAATCTCGTAAGCTCTGTTACTACCCTGCTTCGCAACACTTGGACGCAAGAACACATTCCTCCATCTTGGGGCGATTCACTGATCGTTCCCATTTTCAAGAAAGAATCCCGGAACGATTGCGAAAACCACCGCGGGATCAGTTCGATCCCGATCGTCACCAAGTTACTAGCCTCCATCATACTTCGACGTCTGACGCCTTTAAGAGAGGCCAACATCCGTGAACAGCAAGCCGGATTTCTGTCTGACCGTGGATGTATTGATCAAATTTTTACGTTACGTCAGATCCTTGAGCTGCGTCGCACTCACCGTCGGCCGACGATCGCAATATTCCTTGACCTGAAAGGAGCCTTCTACTCAGTTGGCCACGAAGCTTTGATGGGCTCCCTTCTTCGAAAAGGGATACCTCAGAAGTTAGCCTACTGAGGTCAATGTACTCAAATACCTCCGGTCGTGTAAAGGTTTACAACGAACTAAGTAGACTATTCGTCATCATTCGCTCTCTCACTTTAGTGGGACAACACCTCCGCCACTAGAAGGCAATGAGTAGGGCTTCCTCAGCAGGAGGTATTTGAAATGTTTGTTCATATGGGGACGTTTCGCGAGGTGCAAGGATGGGATGACCAGCGGAAACCGGAGACACTCACCTCCGACCTTCCGGTGGTTTTCTGAGGTACAATTCATCAATAAGCAACATCAATTTGGACTCCGTATTCACGCCTGGCAGGATGCACTGAATCACTCTTTCATCAATCGGGTATTTAGTTGTTTCTACCCTTGGGATGCGGCATCTGCATCGTCTCGCATTTTTGTTTCGTACTCAAGAATTTCGGGACCGTTTCGCTCAAAAGAAGATATACTCACCAATAGCCTTTTCATATCTAGTACGCTGAACGAAGCTACACGACTTCAACATAGATTCTCCGCCAAACTCCTCAGTTCCTAGTCGCAACTATCTGAAAACACCGGGGTACGAATGTTCCACAGAAATCACGGAAACTTAGCTGATACTTTGCTCTATACCTTAGTGAAGTTGTGCATAGAACTTAGCCCTATCTGAGCTGTTAACAAGTTGTTGGACCGCAAGCAGGATTACCTATGAGCTATCGTTTTATCCCTATTTGTGACAAAGTGTTGTCACACAAACGAAAAGGTTGGTTATTGTTGTCCACGACATTCGGTTGACCATGCACAGTCGAATGCATGATGCAACTGCCTGTCCCTTCTGCTGTATGTTCCACATAGGTGGAAGCTAAGGGAGACGAGTAAGGATGGACTTTCAGTGTTCGAACGCCGCTGTTTGTATCATATTGCACTAGTCTGATGGAGCGACCGGATAAGCACTGGGGAGATTACACACAGAGTTCCAGGGAATCGTGGTCGCGCACTGACGTGTGTGTGTGTGTCTGATCTCCGTGGATTGCTGTGACCGGGACATGTGCAACGCCATGCATATTACCAGATAGGCCTCTTCGGTGTGCGATGATTGCCGAGGCAGATGGTGAGTGGGAGAAGGCGTGAGGTGACTAGACTGACTGAGCATAAGTGTATGAAAGCTCTGACCAAGGCTCTTGATCGCACCTGTCTGGTTCGGTTTCCCGGTTCGGGGTACCTAGAGAAGAGTCCAATTGATAGTTAAAAACATTGATTGATACGGCTGAGTGTGGTGACCAGTGACAGTCATGCATCTACTCACCTTATAAGCGAATATAGTTCACTCCCTTTCTGTCTCTTTATCCAAAAATGAACTCTCGGTGTTCGAACACCGGAATCTGATGGGGTAACTGGACGAGCAATAATGAAGTTAAGAGTAGAGTTTCAGTTAGTTGTGGTCGTCCACCGGAGCAAATAGTCGACCTCCCTACATTACGCCGGTTGGAGCATGTGTTACGCGTGTCACCATATAGGTTGTCACGGCGAGCGATGTTTTCCGAGACAGGTGGTAGTTGGTAAAAAGTCAAGGGAGATCAAACTAGGACCTGACATGAGGGTATAAAAATCGTAACCAGTATACTGGGTCACATAGGTCCCGTCGGGTTTCCTGGCTGGGGTCCCCGAGATCGTGTTCACCGTGAGTTAGAGACACTGAGTGACATACCTGGGTGTCGGAAGCAGTGGCGCTCATGCACCTACTCATGATTCTCGCAACCTCTGTGTATATGAATTCTCTATCTTCCGCTTGAATTTGCTCTCATCATTCCAATCTTCGTTCTGCTATTTTATCCAAATGGGACACCAAAGGACAGCAACCAAAACCGGTGCACGAAAATGCATGGTTAATCGTTGTGAAAACCGAAACTGTCTCTTTATCTTGACTGTGCTTCTATCTTGAATTTATTTCATTCACGGACAATGTAGGCACTCGAAAGTGGATAAACCCAACCATCACACCACAGTGCACAGTGATAATGACAGAAAGTGTAGCTATGTTATTCACCTGAATGTTTAGGGCCTTGATTATAGATCTCAGTTATACTGGCAGATCTTGTGATTTAAACCTAATTGTTCCCTTCTAGTGAAAATACAACTGACTAATACGGTGCAGATACAATATGTATATTGTTGTAGAGACGCATCTGTATTGGCTTGTTATCTTCCTTACGATGACTACTTTTATCAAGGAGTTGGTTTCTATACTTGTTCCTGTTGAATCTGCGTGAAAAACCGTGCTGAATTCTGTCCTTTTTATCACATCACATCTGATCTGTTCGCTTNCCTCAACCTGTTCTCTCTATGCTACAGGTGTGATTGAAGGTCACCTGTTGAATTTGGAAACGATCTATCCGGAGGTGAAGAACATACCGAAGACGAAGAAGGTTAGTTTCTATGCCGTGCATGTTGTATGTTTGTGTGTGTGTGTGTGTGTATGTCTGTGTTGACTTTTTACTCGTGAAGCACTGTTTTTATCCCCTCCCCTCACATTCTTTCTCCAATCTGTTATTTATGAACCCCGGTTACACAGTATACATCACATGTACAAACATGGAACTTTATACTACTTGTCTATCGGAAATGTTATTGTTTGGCGGAAAATGTCGTTTGCAAAATAATTAGAATAATAACTCATTATCATCACTACCATTATTA